GGCGGAGAGGCAGGAAGCGGAGAGAGTGAGCACCGACGGGCGGGAGACCCCGGCGGTGGAGGGGGAGGACGAGGCCTCCCGGGTGCGGGAGGAGGGGGAGGAAGGAGAGCTACCGGCTGAGAAGGTGGCGAAGCAAAGGCTGCCGGCCGAGAAGGCACCTTCCCCGGGTGCAGAGCTGGCTGGGGATGACACCAGGCCCCTGAGCCGGTTGAGCAAAGCCAGCAGCCGGGCCAGGTCCGATGATCTGACCGTATGAGGTGGTGCCAAAGGAAGAAAGAGAACACGCGAGCTGGCCTAGGGGGCCAGGCGAAAGGAAAATGCCCACAGGAGCTGAGTCTTCTGCCCCTCCCCTCGCGCCCACGCCTGGTCGCACAGTGCAGGCTGCACAATCAGTGAACTGTCTTTCCCGTATGTAGGGGCTACCTAGACAAACCCATCGGTCTCCTCTGGCTGCCCTGCCCTCTACCCCAGCGGCTGCGGGACTCTGCCTCGGTCCGCATTTCTCCATAGAAATCCTTCTGATCAGACTTGCGATTGCCTCCTACCTTTGTAGTAGCGTTGCCTCAAGCTCACTCAGTGGACTTTGTCACCCAGCCCTTCCCCAGCAGCGACCATGTGGCCCTGTATCAGGAGTTCCAAAGACAACCTCTAGAGCAGTGGTTCTCAACCTTCCTAATGCCGCGACCCTTTAATACAGTTCCTCATGTTGTGGGGACCCCCAACCATAAAATTACTTTCGTTGCTACTTCATAACCGTAACTTTGCTACTGTTATGAATCATCATGTAAATATCTGATATGCAGGATGTATTTTCATTGTTACAAATTGAACATAATTCAAGCATAGTGATTAATCACAAAACAATATGTAATTATATATGTGTTTTCCGATGGTCTTAGGCGACCCCTGTGAAAGGGTCGTTTGACCCCCAAAGGGTCACGACCCACAGGTTGAGAACCGCTGCTCTAGAGGTTGCAGTTGGTGAGGGGCCTGTTCGCATGCCCTGGAAGCACTGGGACTGTGAACACTGGAGAGCAGAGTGCAGCTGCTGCTCCCAGGTTGTGGCTACCAGGCCGTCTGATTTTTCAAGAGAAGCCAGAAACACAAACATTTAAGTGAAATTTCCAGTGTTTTTAATGTTGCCCACTAAGTTTTAAATATGCCCATGTGGATCACACAAATCGTGTGTATGCCAAATTGTGGGGCACCAATCTGCAAGGTCAGCACGCTAGTGCACGAGTGAGCCCCGCTTTCCTGTGCTATTGGTCATATATATTTTTTTTTATGGTTTCAACTTGTTTCTGTGGCTTCTGGACCCCTTTGCACCATTTTTGAGTGTTCAGTTGAAATCATCAGTCTAAGATCCCAGCCCTCGGGGGTCAGTGGTTGAGCGTCAACCAATGAACCAGGAGGTCACAGTTCGATTCCCGGTCAGGGCACAAGCCCGGGTTGCGGGCTCGATCCCCAGTGTGGAGTGTGCAGGAGGCGGCCCATCAATGATTCTCTCTCGTTATTGATGTTTCTATCTCTCTCTCCCTCTCCTGTCCTCTCTGAAATCAATAAAAAATATATTTTAAAAAAGGAAAGAAAAGAAATCATCAGTCCAGGAGATGCCCAGAGTTGTCAGTGTCCTTTCTTTTGAGTCACTGTAGCCCCTGGGTTCTGACACAATGATGTCCCTCATATTGTTGGGAATTCTGCTCTGAGTACCATCAGAGAAAGCAAGCAACGAGTCAAAAAGTTTGCCCACCCCTGCTGTAGCCCCTGGGTTCTGACACAGTGATGTCCCTCATGTTGTTGGGAATTCTGCTCTGAGTACCATCGGAGAAAGCAAGCAGCACCCAAAACCTTCTCCCTGTGAACCTCAAAGGCTTTCCGGCCTGGTGGTAACTTTCTTCCCGGAAGCAAAGAAGGCCCCTTTCTCTCCTTTCCTCTTCCAACCTCAGTGCCCAGCCCAGCTTGGAGCCAGAGGATGCCTGCCCACAGACCTGCCTTAAGGAGGGTCCACTCCCTGGCGCCAATTGGCCCATCAAAGTGGCACTAGGGAGAGTCTCTTACAAAGTGTGAGTCCAAACAGCCAGGGCCCCAGAATTCAGTCCCAGGCCAGGTTTCATCCTGGAAGGGATGTAGAGACCGAAGGGAACAAGAGGGTTCTCTAAGGTCTCCTGTCTTTCATCCCCACAAACAATAACCCTCAAGCACAGAGTCCAGTCAGGGAAAAGCCTCGGGTACACGTACATATTTCACACAGGGAGCCATTGTACCAGAGCCAATCCATGCTCAGGGCAGAGGGAGCAAGTCAGTGGTCACCAAGATGGTTCATCTAAACCAAGGTGATGCTTCAGGCAGTAGGAGGCTAAGGTAGGCGGGCAGAAACCAAGTTGACATGGCAGGGATCTAGACAGGACACCAGCAGGGGACCCCATAAAGGTACCTAGAAAAGCTGCCTTCCTTCTGTCTTCCCCACAACCAGCACCGTCCTAAGTCCCTTGTGCTGCCCTCTGGTCGCCACTGGTTTCCTTTTGAGATATTCATTCCAGAGCGAAGCTTCCCCCGAAACTGTTCCTCCCCCGGGGCCATATGCCCATTTCTTGGTGCCCTTTCCAAAGCAGGGGGGTCTAAAGATTAAGTTCATTCTAATATAAAAAACTATACTTCCCCGGTTCATCCAAAGTGATCAACTTTCAATGAAAGAATGTCTCAGGCAACGCACAGAACAGGGATGTTTATCTCACAGACGTGACCTTCTGGCTACTGCTTGAATCTTCCCCTTGCAACCAACACGATTCCACACCGTCTTCTGTCTGGTGAGAGAAGTAGCCAACCCCCAGGCATCATTGATCCCCAGTGGCTACACTATTGCCCCTCCTGTTCTGCTCTTAAAGACCAATGTTAGGAAAACATCAAGTCAGAGCCTGGGAACAGCTTGATTCTTACCAGGAGGAAGCAGAACGTGTCTCTCTCAACTAGGACCTGATCCAAAAGAGAAAACACTGCTCCGAGTGGAAGCTGCTGGTGCTGCGAAGAAGCAGCTGTAGAGGTGACAGTGGCTGATCTCTCTGCTGGGCGCCACGTGTGTGGGTGAGCACATTTCCTGGGATGAAGCAGCATCCTGCTCCCCTCTCTCTACCCACCCTGCCACCAGAGAAGTTGACATTTCCCCTCTTTTGGAAGAAACAGACACAGGCATCAAGGGACCAGGGTTCTTTTTTTTCCTATTTCTGCCATGTAGGAGCTGCTTTATAATCATCCCTTAACCTCTCTGCACCTCAGTTTTCTGTCTGTGAACTAGAGATAGCATTTGGCTGCCAAGCCTGGAGCCTGCTGAGTGGTGCCACTTCCTGGGAAGTCCCTCCCACAGCAGGGAGACCAGGCAGAGGGGCAGTGGATGCTTTCCATCTGACCCTCCCATCTGCCTGCAATTACCCGGTGAGAGTTTTCCGTGTGGAATAGACGCGCCGGAGATCAGTTTTCCCAGAGGAGACTCAAGACAGAATCTTAACACCACATGTTTAGTAGGAACCTGAGACTCTTTGACCTTGAGAGATGTCTGGGGACAGATTGGCAATGACTTTCATCCTCTGAAAAATGTCCCTTCCTGCCCCATCGTAAGCTGCCAGCTTCCATTCCCAGGCAGCTCTGTGTCCATGGAGGCCCTGCTCTCTTTACACAGCTCAGTCTCTCCATAGCTCCCTCTGAGCCAAGTAATTCTGACTGACTCCGGATTACAATCCACCGGGCTCCATTAGCTCCAGCTTTAAGTCCTACTCCTTGTCCTTCCCTTGTTATAATAACTCTTTAGGGCACATGGACCTACCAATAAAAAGTATTGGACAGCAAGACATACAAGCGCCTCTCCCTCCAGAGGAAAGGGGCTACTAATAGCAGTTACAACACCCCCTTCAGGGGAGATCTGTGACCAGGAGGGACAGAGCTACTCAAAGTGCAGTTAGAAGGTTTCAGGCCTGGCTCTGTAACCCCCATGCCTAGCTTTGGGGGCACTATAAAAAGGCCTATCTGCTTTCACCATGACTTTGCCACTTGCCACACAGGTGAAGCATCCAACTCAGAATTACACAAATATTCCTAGAGGTCGATGAGCCCTGGGGATCGGATTTTCCATAAAGAGCGATGAAGTTCAGCCCGGCCGGTGTCACTCAGTGGCTGTGTTGACCTATGAACCAGTTTTTCTAATTCATCCAAGTTTTCCAGTTGCATTTTTCTATCTTTTTCATTTGCTACAGTTTCTCTACACTGGCCAGATCTCTAGGTGGAATACAGAATTAGTCATCTCCAGAATTGAGTTAGACCAGTGGTCGGCAAACCGCGGCTCGCGAGCCACATGCGGCTCTTTGGCCCCTTGAGTGTGGCTCTTCCACAAAATACCACGGGAGGGCGCCCACGTACAGTGCGATTGAAACTTCGTGGCCCATGCGCAGAAGTCGGTTTTCGGCCTGGGCGAGTCTATTTTGAAGAGGTGGGGTTAGAAGAAGTGGGGGGTGTTGGTCGGTTGGGCGACGGGAGAAAAGGCGCAGGCGGGCCAGGGGATACACAGCGCGGGGGAGGTACATTGTTTTGAGGTACGTTCGCTGAGGTCAACCCCTTCCAACTCTCCCACCCACACTCGTCTATCTGAAACAAGTATACAAGACGAGTGCGGATGGGAGAGTTGGAAGGGGTCGACCTCAGCGAACATACCTCAATCAGATTGAGGACGTTTTTAGCAAAGGCCAGCTTAGGAGGACCCTAATTAAGTTAATAACAATGTACCTACCTAGATAGTTTAAGTTTAAAAAATTTGACTCTCAAAAGAAATTTCAATCATTGTATTGTTGATATTTGGCTCTGTTGACTAATGAGTTTGCCAACCACTGAGTTAGACTAATAAAGCTAACAGAAAATAGATGAGATCAAATAAATGCAGGTGAGCTGAACCAACAGAATATGATGTAACAACAACAAAAATCCTCAGTCACATCTTTAAAGCAGGCATAATGGCCAATTACAACAAATATGGTCATCTCTAATAGCTCCTGGATCAGAACCTCACCTCTGGAACAACTCTGTATCTATCTTGAAATACAAACTAGTTGTCTTCCCTTTAATTTTTTTATTTTTTTAAGAAAGAACTCATGGACATGGACAACACTGTGGTGATTGCCAGGGGGAGGGGGGCGAAGAGGGTAACGGGGAAATAAATGGTGATGGATGAAGACTTGACTTGGGCTGGGGAACCCACAATAGTGTACAGATGATGTGTTGTGGAATTGTGTAACTGAAACCTGTATAATTTTGTTAACCAGTGTCACCCCAACAAATCTGATAAAAAATAAAATAAATATTTTAGGGATTTATCTAATAGTCAAAGACCCTTCTTGGCTTTTTAAAAATCCTGTTGACCTAATTACTGTATCTAGTTAGGTCCCACACATATACTGGGACAGATGAGTAACAGACACGGAAAATAACAACGAAGAGGTTGCTGACAGCCGGGAGCCTGTGAAAGGCTTCAGAGAAGAAAACAACCAGTGGACATTAAAGTAAACGAATAGTGTAATTTCGAAAGATATTTACTTTAGAAAAAAAACTTTTAGAATCTGTTTTGTGCTCTCAAAATTTTTAAAGAAAACATGAACTCTACAAAACAGGAGATGAAACACATGATAATGAAATGATGAACTGAGTTGGAAAAGGAGCTGGCAGAGTTAAGAATTCAAAGAAATTCACCATGGACCAGGAAAAAAATCTAGCTAAGCTTTTATTTGCAAGTATAAAGGCATTATTCTACCATTTTCAAGATATAAGGAACAATCTTTGCCGTGGTTTGTGTACTGCTAATGGACAGTTCTGCTCTCACATTCTTGCCCAGTTGTGAACAGAGTAGGATCATATCCTGTCAGTAGGAGGTGAGGATTCCTCTCAAGAGAACGGCTATTCTGATGTCAAATCCTGAAAAAGAGAAAGATTCTAAAATGAGAAAGAGAAAAAAAGGATTTGGAATGTGAGCCTTAAATAGGAAGAAGAGGGAATTAATTTCTTTCTCTGTCTGAAGCTCATTCTCTTGAGCCTGGAATCCCAAGTCCCAATGCGCTCAATATGTTTCCAAAAGATAAGGGAACAATGGTCTCTGCCATATGGAAGCAGGTTAGGGACGGAGTTAGGGAGTTCATGAGTTAGTCGTAGAATAGTACCTAGCACATAGTAAACACTTGGTAAGTATTGGCCATTTCACCATCACATATTATTCTGTGATGTAATTACTATCATTCAGCACAGTATCATTACCAAGACACCTTACACTCAGCTGGGATTCAGAGATTTAAGGGGAGGCTGTGCGCTTGGTCTGAAAGGTTGGGGGGTGGGGAGAGATTTCCCTCCCTCTCAGATGCCACTGTTGGCCGGGGGGATTAGTCCTAGTTCTAAAGGAAAAGGGAAGCAAGGTAAGGACAAGAAACCCAAACCTCCCGGCTCCCCATGACAGCCATCCCTCCCAATGTGGAGTTAGGAAGGGTGTTTATTAAGTTACCCTCAAAGGAAGAAAATATCAGGCTGGCTTCATCTTTTTCCATAACATATTACAAACAAATCTACTCTAGAACATCTGTAGACTCCTGAGGATTAAATGTTTAAGTCAAGAACTCCACAGTAAGCCATATGTCATTCATAAGTGAAGGAAATTTGAAAGGCATTCTCAATTATGAAAAAATCAACATACCCACAAAACTTTCTTTAAAGAAAAATGTATTTATCTGAAGGAGAAATAATTTTAAAAAATAATTTAAGCCCGGCCAGTGTGGGCTCAGTGGTTGATCATCAATCCATGAACCAGGAGGTCAGGGTTTGATTCCCAGTCAGGGCACATGCCCAAGTTCGGGTTTGACCCCCAGTGTGGGGCGTGCAGGAGGCAGCAGATCAATGGTTCTCTCTCATCATTGATGATTCTCTCTCTCTCTCTTCCTTCCTCCCTGAAATCAATTTAAAAAATACATATTTTAAAAATACGCCAGTATTGGGCTCCTTTGTGACCATCTTACCGTAGCCATGATGGCAAATCACACTTAGTGATAAAGGTGGGGGCTTCTCTAAAATGAGGGAAAGTTCTCACTGGTAGCATCCCGAGCAGAGGTTAGTCCTGGAGCAAGAAGTGGTGGGGAGGCAGGGAGAGGTTTGGGCCCCACCCAGGCCCAGAGGGCGGGACACCCAAAGGTAAGTGTTGAGAAGTGCAGGAAGTTCTTATGGAAGGGCATGCACATCTTTTACTTTTATGTATGACTTTCAATTTATATATTCAATTTTAAATTTTCCATTATTCTTCCCTTTTGTTCACAAATTATATGGATCAAGTTAATTCTGTAGAAGAATCATATTAGTAAGGAATCCTCTGAGTTTTAATAAATGGGGGAAAAGTTTAATGTTATATATTTTAAATGTGCCTCTAAGTCTTTCCAACTTTAGGAGGTATACAATCACCAGTCTTTTTATTTCCTTTTAAAAAAATTCTTTATTGTTGAAAGTATTACATATGTCTCCTTTTATCAGTCTTTTTATTTCAATGTGAATAATTGGCAACCACCCATTTTAAATATACATTTAAACTGATTAATAATAAAGGAAAACTCTGAATGGAAATTCATAATAGTAATAATGGGTAAAATTATTGCATACTTACTAGAAAGCACTTAGTTTTCTTAAAGTTTTAAGTATACTACTTATTTATTCCTTGTAATAACTTTATGAAATAAGCTACTATTACTTATCCCTCTTTTTAAGATGAGAAAAATAAGGTGCAGAGAGTGAAGTTGCTTGCACAGGGATACGTAAGTATTTAAAGCTTCATTCCTCAGGAATCGGCGGTAAGAACAGCCAAGCACTTGATTCAGAGTGAACTCTAGCTTCGCTGAACCAATCAAGGTCCAGGACAGGGCATCCTAAGTGCCCACCAGGTGAGCACCAAGGTCGGCAGATCCAAAGAGAGGCTGTAGCCTGGCCAGCGTGGCTCAGTAGTTGATTCCCAGTCAGGGCGCATGAGAGATCTTCAAAGTGTAATATTTCGTTTGTGCATTAACACATCATTCCTTTTCACCCGTGGTACAAAGAATGCAGCATTCCAGGTGCGGTCTGATGGGTACCTAGTGCGACACTGTCGCTCCCTTGCTGGAGATGGAGGGCTTTGTTGTTGCTACCACACCAGAAATTGACTTGGTTAGCTAGGTTTGCTAAAAATCCCACCTGCCTTTCCACTCTTCCCTCAACTTATTTGTGCTGTTGTTTGTGGAGCCAAGTATACAGTGGGGCCTTGACTTACGAGTTTAATTTGTTCCGTGACGGAGCTCGTAACTCAAATTACTCGTATGTCAAATCAATTGTGAACGAGTGAGACACATGATGCTGGACTGATGTTGTGGCATTCACTATGACCTTCGCTGCGCCAACTAGCGGTGGGGTATCTGAAGCTGGCTCATAACCCGAATTTTACTTCGCAACTCAAAGCAAAAAAATCAGCTGAGAGCCGACTGGTATCTCGAAAAACTCATTAGTCGGGACACTCGTAAGCCAAGGCCCCACTGTACTAGTAAGTTGTGACATTTAGAACACAATGCCTGGCTTATGGTCTCATAATAATCATTATTAACTTCATCTTATTAGCTATGACCACTCTGACCATTACAAAAAGGAATTACCACTTAAAATAAGATGTTAGGTCAGGCCCCACCTCCTTCAGCCTCAGAAATGAAATACTACCTTGCATTACCTCGGCTTCTGGATTTTCAAACCCAGTGTCTTATCTCCCCGAGCTTTTCAGCCAGGCTACCTCCAATTAAACCCCGCCTCCAGAGCGGTGTCTGCCTGGCCCCGCCCCCGTCTCCTAGGCAACCCGCGCCCGTCCCGCCCACTCCTGGACAGAGAAGCAGTCGGTCTCGTTGCTGATTGGCTGGCTCGGGCGCAGCTTGATGGCGTCAGGCGGAGCGGCCTCAGTCCCCGCCGACGCCCGGGGCGAAGGCCACTGATGTAAGGGGCTGAGCAGCCCGAGCTGCTGCGGTCGTAGGGAGCGGGCAATGGAGGCACGCACTCTCCCCGCACGTCACCATGAGTTTCCTAATAGACTCCAGCATCATGATTACCTCCCAGGTGAGCCCCGCCTCCTGCCCGGATCCCCGGCCTCACTTTTCCGTCTCCTTGCGGCTCAGGTGCGGGCT